AGGCGTTGGAATAATAGCGTAAGGTGTTGATAATGTTCATCTACGTTTGATGATGCGATCAGCAGGTCATCAATGTAGACGTGAACAAAATCCAAGTCTCGTACTATGCTATCGATAAACCTTTGGAAAGTTTGAGCAGCATTCCGTAATCCGAATGGCATTCGTAGGAACTCAAACAGACCGAACGGAGTCGTGATAGCAGTTTTTTCGATGCCTTCAAGAGCGACTGGGATCTGGTGATATGCTCGTACCAGATCGATTTTAGAAAAGATAGTCGTGCCCTTGAGCGATGCCGTGATGTCGTGTATGTGGGGGATGGGGTAGCTATCAAAGCGCGTAACTACGTTTAAAGCTCGGTAGTCGCCGCATGGTCTCCAACTAACCCCATCCTTTTTGCGCACCATGTGTAAAGGAGAGGCCCAAGGACTGTGAGAAGGACGAATAATACCAGCAGATAGTAAATTGTCAAACTCACGTTTAGCGAAAGCTGATTTGTCCGGTGCAAGTCGGCGTGGTCTTGCCGTGACTGGTGGTCCGCGGGTGACTATGTGGTGTACCACACGATTAGTCACCGATGAAATCTCCTCGAGTGGTTTAGTTATTCTGGGGAATTTCTCGAATAAAGCGTGGAATTTATCGTCACGCGAATAAAAAGTGCCGAGGATTCGGTACGCGTTTGTGTGAGCTTTAAAACCCATGAATTTACTGTTCGACGAAGTATCGACTAGCTGCAGCCTACGTGAATCGACTAGCAATTCATAGTGCTGTAGGAAATCAATACCTAGTATGGCTGTGGGAACATCAGTAATGATGAACGTCCACAGATACCGTCGTCGGTTGCCCAGGTTGACCGCGTGTGGTCGTGTACCGTTGGTAGGAATGGCTGAGCCATTTGCAGCGCGTAGTCGAAGCATTATAGCTTGTGACTTGATGCTACCTCGTGGTACGACAGAAACGTGGACACCTGTATCCACTATGTACCTAGCGTTTGTGCGATAATCGTGAACGTAAAATAAACGGCCAACCTGGGGGGCAGGGCCGGCGAGTACGGCCGCTTTTACTCGCCGGCTTTGGAGTTTCCCGCCTCGTATGAGCACGGGGCTCGACAACGGCGGGCACCAGATCCGAAGGATCGATGAAACCAGCACCAACCCTCACTCGCTTCCGAAGCCGCCTTTTGGCGTGGCTTGGAAGATGCCCTCGTTGGGCGAGTGTTGACGGCTTTTCGAGAGCGTGAGCGGGCTCGAGGGACGTAGGGTTGGGGTACGTTACAACGGTCTCGAAAACGAAGACATGTGGGAATACACCCTCCCCTGTCACGTTGAGCCGAGGAGTGGCTGCCGTCGATATCGACTTTCGGACGCGACATTGAGGCAACTACGTAGTTGTCTCGGTTGCAAGTCCTAGCTAGAATTTTGTCTGCTGTGAGGGCTACCTGTTTCAGTGGTGCGTCCTCGAGCAGAGCCGTAAATGTAGGTTGGATAAATGCTGTTAGAGATTCGAGCCACAGTTCTTTAACGATTTCAGAATCGGCTGCCGTGGGTCCTGCAAGAGATTGCAGGCGCGTGAGGTGGTGGCTCGGTTTAGCATCACCCAGGGGGTGACGTGTTAATAACGTCCTCAATCGTTCCTCCCTCGATGGGAGGAAATGTCTGAGGATCGCCTCCTTGAGACGATCGTAAACATTCGGCGCATCGGAATTGAGGACAACCTCACGGACAGCTACTAAATGGTCTCCCGGTAAACATTCGAGAGCGTAGGCGTACTTCTGTCGTTTGCTTGTAATATGACGGGTCTCGAATTGAGACTCTATAGCAGCGAACCAAACTTCGGGATCGTGAGGAATAAAAGATACAGGTCGAAAGTGTATAACCTGTACGTCAGAGTCTATTACGTTAATACTATTCTTATAGTTATCCGTCATGTCAAATATATTATATATTAAAAATTAATAAGAAAATATATGACAGACGTGGATAGATAAGCGATAGACTCACCAAAATTGACTTCTTTGTAAGGTTTGGTTGCGATTGCCAAGTGGTCGTAGATGTAGGTTCACCAGTTGTAGAAGATTTGACCGAAGTTGAGGCGTGTTCCAATATTTGGCTCACCAAATGTAGCGTGGTGTCGAGTTGAGCTTGACTATGAACACCGCTACCAGACTACGTGCCAATAGACCAATAAGATTCCGGTAGGCCAAAAATCAGAAGGCAGATGATAGTAGTAGTTGCAATATATTTGTTGGCAATCTCGTGGTATCGAAAGAATACCGAGATCGTGCCAAAAAAGTACAGATGCGATCGGCAAGAAAAGGTGCGTGCGTAGTCGAAAACCGCGTAGAAGCAATGGAATACAAATGGAAGACCAAAATGGCTGTTATTAGCACAGTTAAAAAAACGAGCACAATAAAACAATCACTGGTACAATTGGTTATATTAATAATTGTTTTCATCGAACCAATCGCGTTCTGTTGACAAAAGTAGGTCACTACACACCCTCAACTTCATGTGGATGCTCACCTGAACTTCCTACTACACACGCTCTTATGTGCTACAAAGCAGTCAGTCCCTCAAACGGTCCCCAAAAGCCACATGCAACCTAAAATAATCAAAACCCACACTCTTCGTTTATTAAGCCGTAAAAAGGCACTGTTGGGCAGAATACAAACGAACTGACAACAACAGCGAGTACAGACAATACAAACATATAAGGAACATATGCACGAAGGCTATAAGAGAAAACAGGCTTCAGTACCAGTTAAAGCTTGTGGATAAATTTATTTCCAATCCGAAAAGCTTGTTCCGTTACGCAGCCTCTCTTCGTCAAGCCAAAACTGGAGTTTCTCAACTGCTAGGTCTTAACGGCCCGACCGATAATGACGGTGACGCTGCTAACCTTCTGGCTGAGCAATACTCCCGGACATTCCAACCGACCCGCTTCAACTATACTGATGACGGCTCTATCTGCAACTGCACAGGACTTTCCGTAGTGAAACTGAACGCTGACTTGGTGCTCCGAAAACTGCAGCACCTAAGAACAGACACTTCTCCTGGCCCAGATATGGTCCACTCTGCTATACTGAGGGAAGCAGTTTCAATCCTGGCAACACCGCTTAGCGTGATGTTCTCACACTCGCTAAGTCGATGTAAACTACCGGATATTTGGAAGCTGGCTCATATCACACCAATCTTCAAAGGAGGTCGACGCAGCGAACTTTCAAGTTACCGACCAATGGCTCTTCTCTCTATACCTTCAAAGATCATGGAGTCCCTGGTATACGATGGTATACACGACTATATGCTGTCTTAAATTTCTTCTCACCCCGACAGCATGGTTTCAGGAAGGGTTACTCCAGTATGACGAACCTGCTGACTGCAGTGGACAGATGGACAAGCATCGTTGATCGCAAGGGGAAAGTGGATATCACCTACCTTGATTTCTCCAGAGCTTTTGATAGTGTTAATCACGTATGTCTTATCAACAAGCTCAAACAATTGGGTATCAAACCTCCTTTAATTAACTGGCTCAGTTCATATATGACAAATCGACATTTTAAGGTCAGAGTAAACTTCAATTTCTCACAGGCTATGGGATGTCCTCGTGGGGTCCCCCAGGGCTCAGTACTAGGACCTTTCCTCTTCCTGATTTATATAAATGATCTTCCTGAACAGGTGTCGTCAGACGTATTGCTCTTTGCCGATGACGTGAAACTTTGGAGAGAGATACGCAACCAAGAGGATATACAGGCACTTCAGGATGATCTGACTCGACTTCAAAGTTGGGCAGACGACAGCGTCTTACCTTTAACACTTCAAAGTGTAAAGTAGTCCATCTGCGACACGTCGCAGATTACAGTAGCAACTTAGGAAACTCCTCTCTAGTAGTATCCCGAGTCGAAAAAGATTTAGGAGTTCTGGTGCCCTACGACTTTAAGTCTTACGCCAAATGTGACAGAAATGCCTTTCGAACAAACCTTGCACTGGTAACATTGAAGCGCATTTTTGGTCAGTTTGACGTGAGAACTTTCCACATAATCTCCAATAGTTTCACTCGTCCCCATTTAGAATACGGAAACATAGTATTCCCTCCTACACTCCAAAACGATAAGGACATTCTGGAGCGTATCCAACGGCGAGCCACGAAATCAGTTCAGGGACTCAAATTTAAACCTTGCGATGAGCGCCCCCAATCATTCGACCTTTACCCATTAGAGTACAGGCGTCTTAGAGGTGACCTTCTAATGGCTTACAGTATCCTTAACACTCCTGGACATCCTCTTAAACACCTACTTAAGCTTAGTCCCAACACTAACCTAAGGGAAAACACCCAGAAATTAGAGATACAACATAGTAGAACGGACTGCAGGCACAACTTCTACTCCTCAAGAGTTGTCAAATGCTGGAATTCTCTACCAAATGAGCTAGTCCAAGCAACTTCCCAGGAGTGCTCTGAGAGGCGACTTGATCTATTCTTAAGGAATACGGATAGTATCTTACTATGATTTGCCAATTTATTTTTTTCTCTTTTATCGTTGATATACCCAGGTTATTGCCTGGAGATATTGGTAATCCCCTGCTACTAGACACGGAAGCCTGTTAAGCGAAAGCTTGTCCTATTCCGTCCACAACCATTTGAACCATTTAAATTTCTTGTCAGCTGACTATCGACTTCCCCATCAAATCATCAACGAGTGGACTTCATTACCTCAGCACGTGGTTGAAGCTCCATCCGTCGACTCTTTCAAAAGAAATTTGGGTCAATTGAGAGACCATCGTTGCCAAGACTAACACAGGCTATCAAGCCTCCTGTCCTTTTCGAACTAAAACTGATTCCAAAAACGCGCGTTGAAATAAAACCAAGATTATGTAACATAATAATTCTCAGTAAACGAGAGCAATCACTCCTAATCTTGATCTCAGGGATTCAACTGTTTGCTATAAGTACATTGTTTTTGCTACTTCTAGCCTGGCGCCGTATAATTTTGTGGGATACAATTTAAGATGGAGGGACGTCCAATATCGGATCTTAAGGTTGCGGAGCTTCGCAAGGAGTTGGAGAAGCGCAACAAAGATAAAACCGGTGTTAAACAGGTTTTGCTGGATCGTCTTAAAGAGGTTGTTTCGTCTAAGCTATCTAGAGTTTTAGACTTTAGAAAAGGATGGTCACGATCCTCAAACCTATCGTTTCAGGGATGATGATAGTGTTAAAACTGACCTAGAGATATCGGATCATTCGGTATGTGGTCACTTTATTCAAACTTACTCTTTTCTAGCCCGTAAATGGTGATGGACTAGGAGCTGGTAAGTAGTTTCCGTGCTCATTCAAAATTATTTCGTTTCACTTTCATTTAAAAGTATTGGGTTAAGATTAGGATGCTTTTAGTTGCCTAATCCAGCCGACAATGTTGTGGATGTATTGCTGGTAACTTATACGTAAATGAAAACTGCGATAATACATTTGACTCGTCATTGTAAGTCAGTATGTGCAACGCAAGTGCAGCTGTAGCGAACAATGCTTCGTCGCTCATGGACTCGAGCCGCTGCTTGATCAATTAAGCGGATTGTCAACCTGTAATCTTCATGTCGTGTGCATTCAACAAATCTGTCATACTACCTGAAAAAGCCGCACCCTGTGTCCGAAGTCGTAAATTTTGGATCATCTTTAATCTTAGTGGGTTGGTCTACCCTCTATTCAATTGTAAACGGAAATCTGAAGCCGTATTTGGTTTAAATATCCAAGATTCTTGCTAACAAACCCGCCAAATAGTAAAAACGACAGAGAACTGTATTGTTTTATGCTGTTATGGTAGGATGTGTTGCGAATAGATGATTGGTTTCTTGTTTGCTTTATACTGTTACCACCCAGAAAATCCAATATTGTTCGTATTCATCACTGCTGTTGCGCAGTTACTTTGGATTGTGCGAGCTGTACTAGATCGGCATGTTTGTTATTTCTCCGATTAACATTACATTTTGGGGTTAACGACTATGATTAAGTCAGGATTGTACATTAGTATGCTCATAGTCAAGTCACCGTAAATTATAATGTCCCCTGTCTTTTGTGTGGTGACGACTACTGATTCTCCAATAGGTAGAAAGCATCGAACCTATGCTAACCAAACTAATGGTAATAACTTTCTACTCTTATTCTATTGAAAGAAAAAGTTGGACCCATCACGAAAAGACGTAGTCCGTCAGATGACGTATTGAGTGATGAATATGTTATCAGTGAACATTCATTGCAGAAAAAAATTACGGAAGAAACTGTTCCATACGTTGTTCAAGTTGGTGAGCAGGAGGAAGATTTAGATTATGATTTGAAATATGGAAACAATGACGTATCCGAAGTCGCAGGCGATAGCAAAGATACCCAAGTCAAAGATGAAGAACTTGACAAGCATGAAAATAAACCAGAAAGGTTCGTAAATGTCTGTCGAATGATATGATTATATTTATCCGCTTCTGACACAAGCTGTTTCTTTTTTTAGTTCAGTTACTACTCACCAAATTAGTGGTATGTTCCATTTGGTTAAGTCACAATTTACGTGTCAGAAAGCTGTAGAAATTTGTGGATAAGTAACTTACCGAAATTGGTGAAGGCTGCAGATTTAAAGCAACATTTTAGCAAGGCGGGGAAGGTATGTTTTTTGCCAATCAGGATAGTTTTTCAGGTAGTATCAGCTACTGTGGTTATGAGCACCCGCACACCTGGAGGTTGCTTTGGATTTATACAAATGGCTTCTGCTGAAGAGGCAGCATCTGCTGCTAGAGCCTATGATTTAACAGAGTTTGGAGGATGCATACTGCGGGTTGAAGCTACAGAGCGAAAAGCACCAATCCAATCAAACAAAGCAAATGATCGAGTAGCTGGATTAAACAAATTAAAAACTAGTGTGCCTGAATCTCGACGGACGATATCCAGACCGTTGGTATCTCGAAGACGTTATATTGGTATGTCAACATACTTTTGTCATTGTTCATATAATTAGCCAACAGACAGCGATTGTTGCGTCGTGCTGCCATCAGAACTGCCATTTTGAGGGAACAACGGAAAAGGTCCGAATATTTATCCGCCAATAATCGTCCACATTCCATTAAGAAAACTCCTATCAGAAAGCCTTTATACCAGTTTACTAGACCAAATTATAGAATGTCAAAGGATAGTTTGGTGAGTATGCTACAAAATAGTACTATTTTTGGAGCGATCGGTTCTGTAGTTGCATTTTGAACTCGTACTGTGCAGTATGTTATGATATCTAATCACTGTTTGCTAATCATAAGAGTGTCATGTGGTTTCGTGAAGTTGCTTTTCGTGTGAATTTACGATTAGTTTTTCATTGGAGACTGGAGCTCTTCAAAGCCTTAACACAGGCGCTTTAATGGATAGTTCACATGCTACTGTGAAGAATGAAACCCTTTTGCAGAGGTAAAGTACTTTTACCAATTTAGTTTTTTGTGTCGTCTTATATAAGTATCAGAGTTATCATATTTGAAAAAGTGGCATGTAATAATCCCCAAATTTCCAAAAGACCAATTGTACAATTATCAAAGTAAAGCAAGAATTTTGAGTTATTACTCGACTCTTTATATTGGAGAGAAATTCAATTTAAATCAATTCCTCGGAAAAGCATTGAGAACAACTGTGCGAAGTTTCTGATGTGTATTTCATGAACAAATCCCAAGCATCTGAAATAGATGAATTCTGTTTGGTTTTAAATTTCAAAAAGTGCTGAAGTATTTGTCGGATCTGATTAGTTCTAATTACTTATCTCATTGTTTACGAATGTTTTTGATCTGTACGTTTTTATAGCGTTCACGAGGCGGACTGGCTCTTGTATCTAGACATAAAAGTATTTCACAGCGACAAAGCTCTTCACGGATTAAGTAAGTGAATAACTGATCTTGATGTTTCTTCGTACTTATTTTAGTAACCTTACATGCACAATTTATTAGCCAAAAATAAAAATTTTAGTATTTGATTCATCTTGTGAACCTAACATTTTGTCCTCACAGTTAGACTCATTCCAAACAATCGTTCTTCAAATGTTTAGGTTCTGTTTAAATGAACCATTTACTGTTCAAATACTCGTGGTTTTGGATCGACTCCGTTGCTAGTCCAAAATTATAGGATTTAGCTACTGCTACTTTGTGTCAGTCAGTCAGTCAGCTGCAACGTAGGGCCTGGCACATATATGCATCGGTCCAAGTTGCCATACCGCATTAGCACAACAAGATGAACACCGTATACATATAAGTGGTTAATGCAGTGGTGGTAATATATAAAAGAAAATTGCATATAAGGAGATAGTACAGGGATAAAGAATTAGTTCGTAGTAAGAAAGATATGTATCAATTTTTATCTCTTAGTTTAGAGGAAGAAAGGGAGTGTATACGCCGACGCCATTGTGATCGATTCTGAGCCATGTAATCAAGAGTCTCCAACCATTGGTTACGATAGTCACCCGGACCCCGACCAAGTAGTCTGCATCTACCAACATGGCTCAGACCAGAAGTTAGTGACTTTGTGGACTGATGCCACGTTTTGGTTTGGCCGCCCCTAACTTTCTTCCAATCATCCCTAACACCGGTTAGCATTGCGCGCCGTGGTAATCGGTGTTCAGGCATACGCAGCACGTGGCCCAACCATCTCATTCGATGCAGATTCACAACCTCATCAACTGATTTACCATCATTCCCTAATACCCTGCGTCTAACCTCACTATTACTTACCCCGGTGATCCCAGCAGATACCCGCAATATTTCTAAGGCACCTGTGGTCAAATACTAGTAACTTACGAATATCTTCTACTCTTAAAGGCCATGTTTCGCAGCCGTATAGTAGAACGGAACGAACTGCCGCGCAGTATACTCGTTCTTTTATTGATAGATGGATATATCGCGTTCGTCATAGATGACGTAAGTAGGTGAAAGTCAAACGAGCTTTTCGAATCCGTGCTGAGATTTCGTCAGACACCAACCCATTAGGGCTGATCAGACTTCCAAGATAAGTGGAGTTGTCAACGCGTTCGACTACTTCACTCCCTATCATTAGTTCAGGTGTTGACGCAGACCAGTCCTAAAGCAACAACTTGCATTTAGAGGGAGAGAAGCTACTTTGTATATCTTGTCATAGTTTTATTTTCGGTTAAGGGATTTTCTCACATATCCTGGTACCAAGTTTTCAGGGATTTTAAATTATTTGAATTCAGTGTTGCAGCATACTAAGGGCCTGTTTTGAGAAACACAAACATACTATTAGGTTGCTGGCAAAACCAGTTTCCAAATTGAAACGGTGTATAACCCTTACCACTAATCGCTACGTTACTACATTACTGGGTTTATATTTATAGCCTTTGTTAGAATGGTACTTTGGTAATTTTTGTCCCATAAACCTGCTCAAAACTACTCGATTAGCGGAGTCACGAAATATACTTGATATAAAGCACATATAATTATAACTTTGCCCCTAAAAGAACTGAGGATTCGAAATTTCACCAGTAAATTTTGACCAGACCCGATCTCTCCTCACTTTTCCCTAATTCACCGAATGAATGTTTCGGTTTTTTCATATCACTTACGGATGTCACAAAAAAGTGTAAGATTTTGTGATGAGACATACTAGCTACTCCTCTACCCATGTAAATTAAAAATAATAGCAAACCAACTTTTTTCTTAGTGATTAATGAACTGAACATAGATGTGTAATGTTAATCCACAAGTTAGGGGGTGGACAGTTGACACCTCAACTTTATATTGCAATGGTTATTTCTATTTTGCAACCCGTGATGTAAACTTGTTTCCTAGTTATTACCTTATACAGTAGGGTTGTGACTGTAAGGCTACAGAGACAACTGTTTAGTGCCAGTTGCACGGTTGTATAAAGCAGTTGTCACTTTTATTTTCGTTCTTGACATGGTGCTTCACATTTGTAGTCTGCCGTGGAGTCATATCAAAATCTTGCAACCGGCCCCAAAAATCCATGTAACAAGAGGAGGGCATTCTAATTTTAATGCTTATCTTTCCCATCATCGTCTGCATAATGGCGTCATCACTAAGGATGGTAGTTGTCCTTGTAAAACGTCATAACCACCATACCCTAGTATATGCAGTCGGAGCGTGCTAATGAGCTAAAAGCAGAAGCTGCATCTGGAAACTACCGTAAGCTCTTCCAACTCATCCGAGCTACTGGCAGCAAGACGTCTAGTGTGAGCGAAACAATGAGAGAGTGACGGGATGCCAATCACTAACATCCATCACTGTCCTGTCCTCCATTGCCGGTGACGACTGATCCACCAAATGAGGCGGAAGTCCGCAAGGAACTCCAACTCATAAAACGATACAGATCACCGGGCCCAGATGACTTACCTCCGGCTCTTTTTAGAGATGGTGGTGACATTCTGACTAAGGAACTGACGACGTTGTTTACAAGGTCTGGGAACTAGAGAGTGTACCAACGTCATGGAATGAGTCGATAGTTGTCCCTATCTTTAAAAAGGGTTCACGTCGTTCCTGTAACAACTATCGGGGATAAATTTACTTCCGATTGCGTCCAAGCTATTGGCTTCCGTCATACTTTGTAGGTTGTTCAAAACTCGAGAAAGACTGACTCACGAGGAGCAGGCTGGTTTTCGTTCTTGTCTAGGATTTATTGATCATATCTTCACCCTCCGCCGAATGCTAGAACACCGCCATACTTATCAAAGGCCAACAATCGTAGTGTTTCTTGACATCAGGGCTGCCTTCGATTCGTTGGATAGGACTGTTCTCTGGGATTATCTATCGAAGAAGGGTGTGCCTGAGAAGTTTATTAACATCCTAAAAGCCCTATATACAAACACCTCAGGTAGAGTGAGGGCATACAACCATCTTCCTCCATTGTTCCATTCAAGCAGTTGGGTTAGACAGGGTTGCCCAGTCTCACCATTCCTCTTCAACTTTGCCATCGATGACATTCTGGAAACAGCTCTGATGGATGTAAGTAATGGTGGTGTGGATCTGTTGCCTGGAGAAAGACTTCTCGACCTTGAGTATGTGCATGACATTGTCTTACTGTGCGAGAATGCCCAAGCCATTCAATCCGCACTTAATCAGTTGGCAATCAGTGTCCGTAGGTATGGTATGTGCTTTGCACCTTCGAAGTGCAAAATACTTCTACAACACTGGCAGGATTCTAATCCTGTACTCATTCTGGATGGTGAGCAGATAGAAGTGATCGAAAAGTTCGTGTATCTAGGTAGCTGCATAAGTGCTGGTGGTGGTGTGAGTGATGAGATCAATGCACGTATAGTGAAAGCCAAACCGGCTTATGCCAATCTGGGTCATCTTTGGCGCCTTCGTGATGTTGGTCTGGCTGTAAAAGGTCGGATCTACAACGCGTCGGTGAGAGCAGTTCTACTCTATGCTTGTGAAACCTGGCCTCTCCGAGCTGAAGACGTTCGACGACTCTGTGTTCGATCATCGCTGTCTCCGAAGGATTGCTAACATCCAGTGGCAATACCATGTTAGTAATGCAGAGGTTCGGCATCGTGTGTTCGGGCACAGAGACGATAATGCAATTGGTGTCACCATCTTGAAACACCGACTTCGGTGGCTTGGACATGTTCTACGAATGTCGTCCCAGAGAATCCCACGTCGTGCATTATTTGCCGACCCTGGGACTGGTTGGGAAGAGCGGAGAGGTGGTCAGCGTATGACATGGTGTCGTGGTATGAAAGAAAGCTGTACAGGACTGGCTTCTGTTGGTCCTTTACGACTCCCTGGCTGGGGTCCTAGAGATGGTGTAACACAGTGGCTAGAGACGTTATCAGATATGGCTCAGAATAGAAGCCAGTGGCGATCCTGCTGTAACCTTTTACTTTTTTCATAAAAAGTGGTTGCTTCTTCCTTAACTGAAAGATTTCTTCTGTGTACCTTTTCGTTTCCCCCATTACTGTTTTTTTTATAATTCCCCACGTTCCTTACTTTTTTTCCTTCTCTTTAAATTCTCATTGTTTTGTGTGGCGCATGTGTAACCTTCTTTTACTTTGTTCATAAAAACTGGAAGATTTCTTCTGGTTGTACCTTTCCGTTTCTCCCATTATTATTATTATTACACTACCTTACACTAATCTGGTCGTTCTTGTTTTTTTTTCTTTTACGCTCCTTTTTTTTCCCATTGTCATTGTTTTGTGTGGCGCATATATACCAGTTTGGTTCTTGTCATAAACAGTTTCAAACTTATTGATATACGTAGCATCATATTTATTCTCACACAAACTGTTACAACAGTGGAATTTTGCTTTGTAATGTAATGTAGAACAATTAAATACGTCTAGTTGTTTTTAAGAGTAATACTTAACTGCATATTTCTGTTTTCTCAGTAACCACGCAGTTTTAGAACTTTAGCTCCTCTTGAACGTTTTAGCACCAATCATGAAACGCAGTCGCTGTTACAAAGAAGATTAAATTATACTGTCAATCGAAGGCTGCGTGAGCCAATTCGTATTCACAAAAGTGCCAATATTTCACGTCGATCGTCCAAATCATTTTTGCATAGAGTACGCAGAAATTCAAATATATGTCCAGAAAACCATCGAAGCTATTTTTCTCCACCTTCCCGTTTAATTCCCTTAGATACGCTTACTTCAAAAAGAAACCCAACCTTTCGCAATAATCGTCCTATAGAAAGAGATTTACGCGAACCCTATCGCCCTGTTGTGCCAGAACGAAAGTATCATCCTCAGTCACCTGTTCGATCACATGAATCAAGTCGGTATTCACGAAACACTCAATCATCAGTTTATACAGGAAGAAACACTGTTAAGTCAGTATACGACAGTCGTTCTCGTCAAAGTCACTTGATGACTCGTTCTGAACCGCGGTAAGCCATGGCTTTATATCTATTCCGCGAACTTCATTGTCACTTCTGATCTGATATTTATTTGTAGCACTTCCTTAAACCCATCGAGGATCCAGAAGTATATTGTTTATCTGAGTGGAATATATGTAGGGGTTGCATTCGTCCTTATAGTTTAAGGCTGCACATCGGTTGTATGTGATATAGACACTGAAGATAAATAGGTCTATAGTATTATTGTGGTCTGTCTACTGGTGTAAGTGAAATTTTTCGCAGTGAATCAGATTATTTGGTCAGTTTTATTTAAGATTGTTATGAAATGCTAACAAGGTTTTACTTTAGTTATATGTTGAGTATTCGGTTCAAAAAGCATTTTGATTTCATGGTTAATAATGTCTGTTGTAGACAGATCAGTATACATTTAGTATTAATACGATAATTTGGTAATATACCAAGTACATCTATTCAGATTGGTTTCAGTTAGGAATTTTTAAAATGTACTTATTGAATTACATGGTTTTCAATAAAGATATTTCGTCTTTTAAAACCGTTTGTGATGTTTAATCTAAGTTAATATTTTTGGTCTGGCTTTTTCAGCTAGTTACATTCATTGTTACTTTGACATCCAGCAAAAATTGATAGAGCTCAGGTTGTCTGTAATGTTTGTGGAATTAGTTATTGTGAAGGTGACTTAAGATTTTATTATTCCCTGGAGTTAATTATCTAAATACAGTGGTGTTATAAGAGATAAAATCAATATCATGTTAGTAGAAATGGAAAGAATAAACATGACTTGTTTTCTGAATTTCACACCTAATACTCCGTAATCCATGTTTATATGGTTAGTTCTAATATGACCGTCGTCATCATTAGCTTTTGGTGCCATTCGATAAGACTGTAAGAACGAAACGGCCATCTAGTGCTTTCAAGTTTTCAATGGTGGTCTAACATTTGTCGGTTCATGTTCTCATTAAAAACTCAACAATCTCCATAACCCATTACTAATATCTATAAGCAGTCGTTTGTTAACTAGCCAGTTTATCTTTTCCATTATATTTTCTAACCCCTAGTAAAGTCGTTGTGACTTATACCTTGTGTTATAACTCTCTCGTATTACAACCCAGCAATTCCTATTGCTTAGTATTCTCGGACACCAATTGACTCAACAAGTCCCCAAACCAGAACACGGTTGAACAGGAAAAAGATTATATTCCAAATAACAAGGTTGGATAGAAGTGAGAAGCACAATAGGAAAAACGGTAATATATTTATAGTTTTTACATGAGAAGATTTCTAGAGTATTCTCCAAGTATCGACTAGCGCTGATTGGGCAAGAATTAGCCAATCAACGTGCAGCAAAGCAATCGTCCATTGATCATGCTTTAATCCAATCTATGTCCCGCTAACACCTTGGAACGACTTATACCCTTAATAAGGCAAAATTACTGCGCAACCGTCCATTCTGTATCACTATACAGTTGTCAAACGTAACCTACAAAAGAATACTCGAGTAGGCTACAAGTATTTCAACGTAGTTTTTTCCGAAGCATTTCTTGTTCATGATGAAATAAAAATAATGGATTTTGAGGTTAAATGTGGAGTATTGAGCGAATGTAACAAATCACTTTTTGAGACTGGATCTTCAACTAAGGTAGCTTAGATATGTGCTGTGTATGCCCAAACACCGCCTACCTCGTCGCGCAATGCTGACGCAAATAGGAGTTGGTTGAAAACTAGGGAGAGCCACCTTAATGTATCAAATCAAAACACTACGTCATTGACTGTTAAACTGGGCAGCTTGTGTGTAGATTATCTGCTTTGGGCTCAGTTAGTGGTTGCTTAGAGTCTATCTCATTCACTCTATCTCCTACTTGATCTTAAATTTCGTTTTTTTCTTTTCGAACCATATTTTCCAATGTTTAGTCATTCCCATTACCAATGATATAACCACTATTTTGACTCCCTTACCATTCGTCTTGTTGATTTCATCTCTCCGTGCTGATATGGTGTGGAAACTTAGTCTGTCCGGCATTTGTACCAGGTTTCACATTGATTGTGACCGAACTATATTTTAACGTTGCTATTTATATAGAGCGGCTGGTCTAGTGGCTAGGGCTTTCAACTGTTAGCCAATAAGTTTTAGGTTCGAACTCCGTTTCATGCAATTTATTTTGAGTAACCGAGTAAGTATCATTAGCTCTCGCATTTAGAATGGTTCATACCTAAATACCTGGTTAATGAGTTAATTTAACTTAATTTTTGTTATTATTTATTTCACGGTCACTACACTATCATTTAAGTGATTTATTGGGCAATGAACTATATCCATTACTTTACAATGAATTTTGATTTGTTTGTGTATGTAAGATTTACTAAAATTAGATAATTATATGAGTTTATTTCTATATTTGTATGTATATGCATGCACATTAGCTTGATGGTAGTGATATGTAATTTACATATTACTAATTCCTATTTTTAGATGTACGAATTACAGCAGTTTTGATAGTCGAAAAATGACCGTAGCATCTCGTACAGATATGTATTCTGAAGAACGTTATCGAACTCACGATAGTCATCTATCTGAAGTACGCAGAAGTCAGTTAAGGTCAAAAGCCCCAACTCCACGAATGAGAGTTGAGGAGAGTAAACGAGAGTACCGTGCAGTTAGTAGAAGCCCACCAAGGTCAAGAGATTCTACAATGATGCGCCCATACCCAGTTTCTCTCAATTTCAATCGCCATCGTACGGAAGCCAGTCATCGTTGCCGCAGTCCACTGATGTTACAGTCTACACCACACAGGCCTGAAATCGTGGAGTATGAACACCGTTCAGGTACGTAATCATCAAGTTAATATGAGGGGCCCCGGCCGATTCATCTGTAATTCCTTCGTTTGTTATCTGTTTCTGTTCTGTTGGTAATCGTAGTGTAAGGTAATATCTAGCGCTTGGATTAAATGACTGCATTATCCTTCTTTTTATTCATAAAAAATCCGGGTTTTTCTAGTCGTTTCTCGATAATGACTGTGTGTATCACCTTCGTTTGGAACTCACATGTTTCGCAAACCCAGTTAGAAATCGATTGTTCGTTTGCTAATTTCAAGTCATAGTTACTTCAATATCTACAGATTTTGCTTAGTCTTTTTGAATGCTAATAAGTACAAACTGGAAATATTCTTTCCACTCTCATGTTTTCAGAATTTAATTAGTGATTTTATTCACTTTGATTGGGTTTTCATTAGTATTGTGTATTATTCAGTAATATATTTGTAATATCATAATCTGCAGAATTCTCAATTCCTGGCGTTTTACAATTTATCGTGAGTTGCTTTTTCAGGTAATAAGTGCCTGCGGTCAGAGTCTGTATGTACGTATGCACCACACAAACGAATAGTGAACAAAATTAAAGAATAGAATGAAGATATAATAGAAATTAGAGAAGTAATGAGATACCATTCAGCTTATAATCCAACCATAATCGAATAATTATAGTTCCTCTCATTATAAGAAGATCACCTGTGGTTTCTTATTCGTCACATATTTCGTAGTCTCAAGCTTCTAGGTTTCACTATTTTCAGATGTCTTCCAAGTGGCATATATATCATATCATATTGATGACCTTTTGATTTCGATCGTTAAGTCACTTGTATTTATTATTGAATATTATCTTTTCATCCGAATAGATTTCTACTAACTAGTTTATTCGAATCGTTGGTAAACAAATATATGTATATGTTTCTTGGTTAGAATACTACTTCAAGATTATGTGTAAATTTATTTCTTCTTTACTTTTAAATTGTATTTTCCAATTGTAGAGCCAAGAACGAATTGGCAGACTGAAAGGCGTTCCAAAGTTCTCTCATCTCCATCACAGTCATGGAGGCCGGCAAACAATGCATTTTTCCTATCTCCTACATATGAAAATCGAAATACAGGTCGCCGATACCAATGACATTTATTGCTTATTATATGTATACGAATATATTATATTCAACTTTAACAAGCAATTCTCTACTTATATCGATTACATTTAGCAAGTGTATTAATTGTTCGTAAATTTTTTATCCATGATGGTTGTTGATCTGCATTCATTCATACAAAGCATTTTCTTTAGAAATGTTTTATCTTTAATACTTCACACCCCAATTAGGCTATTTATTAATCTAATATCCCATTCTAGTTATACAATGCTTGTTGAGATTACAAAAATTTAAACATTGATTAGCAAAATGATATTCGGAGAAAAGGCGATGAAATGAGGATTTAAAGAACTGGTAAAAATTCACGTCAGAAGCAAATAAAACAAAGTGATGAAATCTTATTGCATAAATTATATGACTGAGACATCATCATAATATTTCAATTCGGTAAATGTTGCGTTAGTAGCGTTGTGGTTAAGTGTCTGAGTGGTGATGTGTTCTCACTGGAGCTACGAATGCATTGTGAGGGTTAATAATGAGTGTTTGATATTCGTAAGTTTTCTGGAGGATATATGCAATTGAGTGTGTGTTGGTAATTGTGAGATTTTGTGGAAATGTGGGTGGATGAGTGAATTGATAAGACGGGGCAGCGATATAGTGGTGTGTGTGGAAGTTTGTCTTAATTTACAAACAAACAAATAAGTAATATTGGTGATGCGATTGCGATTAGTGTAGTTAGAGTTTGGCTTGTGAAAGGAGGTGTGGATGTTTACGTGTTTGTCAGTGTATCGGTTGGTGTTGGTGGTGGTGGTGGTGGTGGTGGTGTTTGATGAAGAACCCTTGTTGATCCGTCCTGGAGATGTCTAGTTTTCAGGGAGCCAACGACGAAGGGGAAATGTTTTCTGGTCTCTTCGGTGAACCAGGATTGTACTGGTTCTCACTTAGCACCAGGTAGATGTGTTTAGTGTGAGCGTGACGAGTGATGTCTAGTGCTGGTTTGTGTTGGGACGTGTGTTGAACTGTGTTGATTGTTTAAAGATTAGGGATGACTTGGAGTGTGATGTTGATCGTATGTCTGTTGAGAATTAGGTGGTTGTGTGTGTGAGTGTGTGTTGTAGTTGTAGTTGTAGTTGTTGTTATTGAGCTGTTTGCCTGCTCGTGTTTGTATGATAGTGAATAGTGTTATTGGTTTTGTTTATTTTGAATATGGCTGGACTGGGGTGGAGTGATTGGGGTAGGGTGTTTGTTTGTTAGTGTAGTTGACGACCCATTTATTCTGGGTTTGTAACTTCCAGTGTTTGTCTTTGTTTGCCAATGGTATTGATTGTTCTATTGAGGTGTTTGTGTGGGGCGGGTGTAGTTTGGTTGTATTTGTGAGTGATTGTGGAAGGTATTTGTGAGATGTGTTTTGTTGAGCGTGAGGTGTGTTGATGAACTTGTTGACGTGATGAGAGAATTAAGTGAGTGGTTATAGTGATATGTGTGGTTTTCGTTCGAGCTGTTCGAGTTGGATTGATTGATGATATATAGTGTGTTGTTCAGCTGGGAGACGGTGTGTGTGGTGATAGTGTAAGTGTGTGTGTAGAACGTTAATGAGTAAATTAATTTAGTGCTGAATTTGTCTGGTTTGATGTGGGGTTACGGTTTGTGGTAATCTCTGAGTATTGAAAATTCTGTTCATACTTTGTTGTAATGTGTGTTGATGGTTTGACGGTAGTGGTGTGTGTGTGTGTGTGAGTTTGTGTGAGAGTTTACATTTGAATGAAGTGAAGTATTTCAGTAAATTTTGTTAGTAGCGTTGTGGTTAAGTGTCTGAGTGGTGATGTGTTCTCACTGGAGCTACGAATGCATTGTGAGGGTTAATAATGAGTGTTTGATATTCGTAAGTTTTCTGGAGGATATATGCAATTGAGTGTGTGTTGGTAATTGTGAGATTTTGTGGAAATGTGGGTGGATGAGTGAATTGATAAGACGGGGCAGCGATATAGTGGTGTGTGTGGAAGTTTGTCTTAATTTACAAACAAACAAATAAGTAATATTGGTGATGTGATTGCGATTAGTGTAGTTAGAGTTTGGTTTGTGAAAGGAGGTGTGGATGTTTACGTGTTTGTCAGTGTATCGGTTGGTGTTGGTGTTGGTGGTGGTGGTGGTGGTGTTTGATTAAGAACCCTTGTTGATCCGTCCTGGAGATGTCTAGTTTTCAGGGAGCCAACGACGAAGGGGAAATGTTTTCTGGTCTCTTCGGTGAACCAGGATTGTACTGGTTCTCACTTAGCACCAGGTAGATGTGTTTAGTGTGAGCGTGACGAGTGATGTCTAGTACTGGTTTGTGTTGGGACGTGTGTTGAACTGTGTTGATTGTTTAAAGATTAGGGATGACTTGGAGTGTGATGTTGATCGTATGTCTGTTGAGAATTAGGTGGTTGTGTGTGTGAGTGTGTGTTGTAGTTGTAGTTGTAGTTGTTGTTATTGAGCTGTTTGCCTGCTCGTGTTTGTATGATAGTGAATAGTGTTATTGGTTTTGTTTATTTTGAATATGGCTGGACTGGGGTGGAGTGATTGGGGTAGGGTGTTTGTTTGTTAGTGTAGTTGACGACCCATTTATTCTGGGTTTGTAACTTCCAGTGTTTGTCTTTGTTTGCCAATGGTATTGATTGTTCTATTGAGGTGTTTGTGTGGGGCGGGTGTAGTTTGGTTGTATTTGTGAGTGATTGTGGAAGGTATTTGTGAGATGTGTTTTGTTGAGCGTGAGGTGTGTTGATGAACTTGTTGACGTGATGAGAGAATTAAGTGAGTGGTTATAGTGATATGTGTGGTTTTCGTTCGAGCTGTTCGAGTTGGATTGATTGATGATATATAGTGTGTTGTTCAGCTGGGAGACGGTGTGTGTGGTGATAGTGTAAGTGTGTGTGTAGAACGTTAATGAGTAAATTAATTTAGTGCTGAATTTGTCTGGTTTGATGTGGGGTTACGGTTTGTGGTAATCTCTGAGTATTGAAAATTCTGTTCATACTTTGTTGTAATGTGTGTTGATGGTTTGACGGTAGTGGTGTGTGTGTGTGTGTGAGTTTGTGTGAGAGTTTACATTTGAATGAAGTGAAGTATTTCAGTAAATTTTGTTAGTAGCGTTGTGGTTAAGTGTCTGAGTGGTGATGTGTTCTCACTGGAGCTACGAATGCATTGTGAGGGTTAATAATGAGTGTTTGATATTCGTAAGTTTTCTGGAGGATATATGCAATTGAGTGTGTGTTGGTAATTGTGAGATTTTGTGGAAATGTGGGTGGATGAGTGAATTGATAAGACGGGGCAGCGATATAGTGGTGTGTGTGGAAGTTTGTCTTAATTTACAAACAAACAAATAAGTAATATTGGTGATGCGATTGCGATTAGTGTAGTTAGAGTTTGGCTTGTGAAAGGAGGTGTGGATGTTTACGTGTTTGTCAGTGTATCGGTTGGTGTTGGTGGTGGTGGTGGTGGTGGTGTTTGATGAAGAACCCCTGTTGATCCGTCCTGGAGATGTCTAGTTTTCAGGGAGCCAACGACGAAGGGGAAATGTTTTCTGGTCTCTTCGGTGAACCAGGATTGTACTGGTTCTCACTTAGCACCAGGTAGATGTGTTTAGTGTGAGCGTGACGAGTGATGTCTAGTACTGGTTTGTGTTGGGACGTGTGTTGAACTGTGTTGATTGTTTAAAGATTAGGGATGACTTGGAGTGTGATGTTGATCGTATGTCTGTTGAGAATTAGGTGGTTGTGTGTGTGAGTGTGTGTTGTAGTTGTAGTTGTAGTTGTTGTTATTGAGCTGTTTGCCTGCTCGTGTTTGTATGATAGTGAATAGTGTTATTGGTTTTGTTTATTTTGAATATGGCTGGACTGGGGTGGAGTGATTGGGGTAGGGTGTTTGTTTGTTAGTGTAGTTGACGACCCATTTATTCTGGGTTTGTAACTTCCAGTGTTTGTCTTTGTTTGCCAATGGTATTGATTGTTCTATTGAGGTGTTTGTGTGGGGCGGGTGTAGTTTGGTTGTATTTGTGAGTGATTGTGGAAGGTATTTGTGAGATGTGTTTTGTTGAGCGTGAGGTGTGTTGATGAACTTGTTGACGTGATGAGAGAATTAAGTGAGTGGTTATAGTGATATGTGTGGTTTTCGTTCGAGCTGTTCGAGTTGGATTGATTGATGATATATAGTGTGTTGTTCAGCTGGGAGACGGTGTGTGTGGTGATAGTGTAAGTGTGTGTGTAGAACGTTAATGAGTAAATTAATTTAGTGCTGAATTTGTCTGGTTTGATGTGGGGTTACGGTTTGTGGTAATCTCTGAGTATTGAAAATTCTGTTCATACTTTGTTGTAATGTGTGTTGATGGTTTGACGGTAGTGGTGTGTGTGTGTGTGAGTTTGTGTGAGAGTTTACATTTGAATGAAGTGAAGTATTTCAGTAAATTTTGTTAGTAGCGTTGTGGTTAAGTGTCTGAGTGGTGATGTGTTCTCACTGGAGCTACGAATGCATTGTGAGGGTTAATAATGAGTGTGTAGCGAGGTGTCGAGTTGAGCTGAACTATGAACACCGCTACCAGACTACTTGCCAATAGACCAATAAAATTCCGATAGGCCAAAATATCAGAAGGCAGATGATTGTAGTAGTCGTATATATTTGTTGGCGATCTCGTGGTATCGAAAGAATACCGAGATCGTGCCAAAGGAGTACAGTTGCGATCGGCAAGATAAGATACGTGCGTAGTCCAAAAACCGCGTAAAAGCAACGGAATACAATGGAAGCCCAAAATGGCTGTTATTAGCACAGTTAAACAAACGAGCACAGTAAAACAGTCACTGGTACAATTGGTTATAATAATAATTGTTTTCATCGAACCAATCGCGTTCTGTTGACAAAAGTAGGTCACTACAGGAGCCCCCCGCTAGAAAGGGTTTACACTTTCGATAGTTAGCGGTTTGATTCGTGGGACTGATCGGCAGAATTGCGGTTGTAGGACGGAGGAAATTGGCGGAACAGGAAGTGATCGTTGATCCTCGAG